GGTGGGAAAGGGTAAGACGAGGAGGTGGGTAGTTGAGCCACAGGCATTTACCTAACCAAACACAGCTGTCATGTGTATGTGTATGTGTGTGTGCGCGCCTGTGTGAAGAGAGAGGAAAAAAGAGAAAGGATTATGGGTAACACAAGAAGTCTGGCTCATTCAAATGGAGGAAAACACCACAAGGTTCTGGCTTGTACAACACACACTCAGTCTGCAACCTCCTCCTCCTCCTCACCCTTCTCCTCTCCGTCTCCTCTTTCCATCAGGGCCGCCATCCAGGGAGGGCAGCCAAAAGAGAGGAGTCGGGCCCAGATAACTCCCCGTCTTATCCTAACAGGATTCAGTTTGTACACAAAGGACTGTAGGGATGATGAAAGGGGGTTTGGGAGAACTTGAAGCAGGGTTAAGCAGCACACACATCCTCATCTCTTGTATGCTGAGAGCATCACAGACCCTCAGACCCAAAGACAAAAGGTCCCAGTCACAGACCAGCAACTTAAATACTATTTACCAATGGAGCTCAAGCACCGGTCCTTCACGGCACCGGCTGTGATTAAATGTAAAGAAACACAAACTGGCCACGGTTCTTCTGTGGAAAATGTTTGTCAAGCCAAACATTGGGACTACACAGTCCACTGCTGCAGAGGTTAAAATAAAAGCCACAAGTTATGTTTGTACTTTACGTAAACACAGAAGTAATTCATGCAGAGCTGATGTAAAAACATGTTATCTCTATGATGCCAAGGGGCACAAATTACAAAGAAATGTAGTATTTTCAAGGGGCACAAATTACAAAGAAATGTATTTGCTGTATGTACTTGTCAGGGCAATGCAATAACGTCTTTGTCTTTTTGGTTTTCTTGATCTACATTCAATGCATCAGTTGGCAACAGCACCATCTCCAGTCAAGTGGATCAAACACAGAGCCTTTTCTGTATTTTACTGTCTCCATATGCCACAGTGAGATCATGGAGCTCTACGGTTCAAATTTCACACAAGACTTATGACTTACTTCTCTTAGATCTGTGAGCGCTATATTTCTGTAGCTGGAGGTGTGTCTACGTCAGAATGAGGGACCAAGACAGAACCTGCTGTTTCTGAAGATTGTTGAGACAAGAAAAATTGTTTACGTTGGTTGAGTTTCCTAAATAAATAAGCACAAAAATGGCAAACTTGCCACTTGCCAAAAACTTGCAGATCTTTCAATCAAGATGGTCTGCTAAAATAAAAGCTTTATGCTTTTGAATATGATGTATTTGTGCTGAATAGAATGTTGTCTGATTGTTGAACAGGAGGAGCCGCACTCCCATTTCCTGTTCAAATTCAGTATCAAATCCAGACTTGCGTTCTTTGACAAGCAGTGGCTGCAGCACCGTCTGACAAGTGTTTGGCTGTGTCAGGTGGACTTGGTGCTGTTTGAGGACGTGGATCTGTGCCAGGTGGAGCGGGACATGGATAAAGGACAGAGGTGTCTGGGAGGGCAGTGATTTGAGTCTGGAGGACATCACAGCACCGTTGACTGAGCTAACCCTACTGGCCTGTCAGATCCTATTCTCAGCTTCACTGAACATGACAAGGCTGTGGACCAAAAAGGGTGGGAGTGCTGTCACATGCTGCGGGCTAACCCACCAAGTTCAACGATTTGGAAGCGAGGACTCCCCAGAATACAACTAATTTAAAGTTGGAACAGATTTGTTCAATCACCTGATGGAGAAAGGTGTGATCAAGCTCGAGGCCCAAAAGAAAGAAATTAAAACAAAAGTGAAACATTCGCCAAATCCAACTAAAAATAAGATCACAAAGCTCACAGACAAATCTTATTCAGGCCAACTAACCTCTGCAACCTCAAGGAAATGGCATTAATTTACACTTGAAAAACAGAAGAAGTTACATAAGGACCTTTCTGCTGCACAAGGATTTTCCTGTTTGGCTGTCATCATTTTCCCTTCCAAAAATATTTATTCCCCAAAGCCAAATTGTCCACCACGTGAGCGTGGAGTGAGTGGGGGCGTTGTGTTTGTGCATGTGGCAGCATACGTGCTCGTGTGCTACACAGCACACAGAAAACACATTGTTGGCCAGACCCAGAAAAACACAGCAGATTGTCTCCTGCTGACAAAGAAGGTCTGGTTTCTCATCGTGGAACAAGTCCGATTCACAGGCCGCGGCTTCAAAAGACTGAATACAGAAGCCTTTCTGAGGGACAGTGCAGCTAACTGAGCCGACAGCAGAAATGTTATTCACATTATTGAACCAAGTTAAAGCAGTGGACTCAACACTGGGGGGGAAAAAAGATAGGGAAGAGGGGGGGGGGGGGGGGGAAGAGAGGGAAGAAAAAAAAAACACACTTCTGGCAACCAGAGACAGTAGGAAATTATTTACACTAAATATAGCAACAACCTAAATTACACACTCTGTTACAATGGTTTCTTTAAGGCAAAGAACAAGAACAAACTGAGCAAAATGAGCGTTGCAACTATAAGACAACTATAAGAATGCCAAGCAGTTGAATTAGGGATCGGGTTTCCTTAAATACGTGAACATAATCCCGCCATGATTCCTCAGTCTTTTGTTAAACCCAGTCCCCAGTCAGCAGCACTAACCTCTGGCAAAAAAGGGAAAGGATAAGTTATTGTAGTACAACAAGTCTCTGGGTCAATCTCTACAGACGCCATTAATTCTTTATGGTTTGCCGCAGACCAGCATAATGCATAGGGCCTCTCTACAAATACCGCTCTCATCTTTGGAGCTCAGTGATGCTGACGCAACTATAAAAGGCCTCCAGAATCTGTGATGAGATATCTGGCACTTTTCTTTGTTCCTTATCCACCTCTCGCGATACGTGTTCACCATCTGTTCCCCAAGACCTAACAGTCCTAACCAATACCCCAGGGTCACAAGTTCAGGGCTGGATCAACAATTCATGAGTCCCTGTAAACACAGAAAGGAGTGGAGTTAAGAGAGCCATGGACAATGTGTCCCAGTGATGTGTTTATGTGCGATGTACAAGATAGGGACCGAGTGATTCACCAAGCATCTCCAACTGGGGCATAATATCATTAAAACAGGCTGATGGAATTTTCTAGGCTGGGTTTGTGGAGCGTACATAAACACACAGACACACACACACACACAGAGAAAATAAATAGGAAATGGCAACACAGACAGCGGAAAGAATAAAAGGAGACGGAAAAGAATGAGCGAGGGAGTAAGAGGAGAGGCCACACAGGGCTAATCAGATTTTATGGATTGACCAAACTAAAAGGCTGATCTTGCCTTTTGTCCTGAAAAGCCTGGAGGTGCCTGGACCAATGTGAGTGTACAAGGGGAGGGGGTTAGAGGTCAGAGCAAGTTATTGAATCTCTACACAGGCCATGACCATTGTTGTTCTGTCCCCTCAAGAGAAAGGGTCAATTCCAGATTCAAATTGAAATTGATTGGCTGCTTGTAAATCATTCAGGGAAACGGGGCTTGATTGTTGCCATATGACGTACAATATTGTTTATTTTGACATGCATAGGAAGATAAACTACAAATAATGATTGTAATAAACAACAGCTCGAGCCAAAGTCTGATGAAAATACTGAGGCTTTAAAGGAACCTTTGTTTCTGGCCCAACTAAAGAAGGCACGGTTCAAAGATCTGTTCATGTCCCATCACCCACGAAAGACAAGTATACAATGGACACTGACTTTTATTTAAACAACCCACACTATTTACACATGCATCTATGAATAATTCAAATCTGTCCTACATAGTGTTGAATATGTAGTATTGCCGCCAGAAAAAAAAAATCTCTCATCTTGGGGGAGGCTGCAGTTTTTAAAACCCACTCTATTCTGAGCACAAGAGAATTCCTGCTTCAGACAGTGGACACGAGGTCTCAATGCAACCTAGAGTTTAGGCAGGGTGTAATGGCTCATCTTAGATCGTTTGAAAGAGGAAGGAAGAGATGGAATCCCACCCTATAATTTACTGGGGGCTTTATGGGCCAACGCCCTGGCTTGCTTTGCACTGATGCTCGTCTATTACTTCAAATCCAAGGACCACTGTTGAGTAAAAACCAGGTCTGCAGAAAATCATCTGTGGCTAAAATACTCTGATTTTGTATTTGTCTTAAAATTCAGTACAGAATTCCTTTGTTTCTTTTCTGCCTGCACCACAGTTATCATCAAATTGGGGCTTCATCTGATTGGCATGTTGATGTGAACGTATGGGACATGCACTTAAAGCACTGTCTGTTGAATACACTGTTGACACACTGAGTGTGAATGTACAGTTTCCCTCTAGAGCTTATGTCCAGGCTGCATCAGAGAGACCGTGGGGTTTCTCTCAGCAGGGTGGAGCCCTTATAATGTTATATTTATATAATCAATACAGAATGCAGCTCTTTATTGATCAGCCTAATGCTTCTGTTTGTTCATTTTGAAAAAGAATAAAATTTGCTGGGTAATCACAGCTATTCTAGTGGTAACATTCAGTAACTTCTTACAAGATTATAGCCTATTTTTGCAAGTAAACCTGCGGTAAAACTTCCTGCTGTTTGTTTAGTGTTTTTTTTTTTTTTGGGAAGGGGGTGGTTGTTTTGTTTCCTACTTTTTCAAGTAGTTGAAATGATTCTGGGTGGAACAGTTCATGAGCACATAGAGCTGCCATTAAAACCCAAAGTAGGAAGCATTAAAGAGAGACTCACTCCCGCAAGTCAAACATTTCATTAAAAAAGTCTCTGTGGTGTAGAATTCAATTGTGAGGCAACAATCTAGCTGTAAAAATTTTAAATGTGTGGTTGTCGATGCTAGTTTACTCCCTAAAAAATGTTTTCAATAGATATCCAATCTACTTTCATAGCATCTCTTTCTGGAAAGAGAAGGGAAATCAATCAACGGTGAAAGAAACTGCACACTTTCTTTAACAAAATTCAGCCAGTGGCAGAGTTGTAATAGCATGTGAAGTCTCAAAGGAGACAAATGAATAAAAAAAGAGAGAGAGAGATACAGTACCTGTAATACGAGCGGTTCTGGGTTGAATGCCAACGTCATTAGCAGCTGCATTCTCTCTGTGTCCTTGAGGTTCTTCAGCAGAAAGCTGCCTGAGTCTTTGGTCTCAGCATACCTGCGAACCACTCGGTCCAGCAGCCTCTGAGAGGGACAGTGCACCAGGTCTGACCATCCCTCCACTACGTCTGGAGTGAGTAGGCGAACATCGCCGTTGATCCTGGCAAATTCAGTCTTGTACATGGCCTGGATTATGTCGCAGCGTGGCCTGCCAGTGGCCCTCTTGCAAATTTTCTGGTCTATTTCAGCCAACTCCTGGTTTGAGCCGAGGCGTTTAAGTACCACACGTCGTGTACCCTCCCTGGGCTCACCATACTGAGCAAAGTAAACATTCTTGACATTGAAGACGTCTAGAAATCGTAGCCGACCCCAGGTCTCAAAAGACACCTGGCCGTTCATGAACTTGCGGCACCAGCTGGTGCCAAAGCAGGCGGGACACTTGTTGAGGTTGATGAAGCGCCGGTCGGTGAGCTCATTCTTCTGGAAGGAGGCAAACAGGTTGTGGGTGTTCATCAACAAGATGACAAACAGCCCCACCACCAGCAGGAGCTTCAGACAGCGGTACAGGCGACCAAGTTTGATGGGTAGGAAGCGCAGCATGATGTGGACGGGACAGGGGAGAGGATCTTGAGGGATAGGGACGAGGAGAGGTATCGAGATGATCAACAGGGAGTGAACCTCAATGCCTCTCCGTCATGGCTGACCGGCGTAGCTTCTAAAGCGGCAGACAGAGGCGGGGTTGGCACTGCTGCCCCGTGCCAGTTTCTGGCAGAAGCCAGGGGGTCATGTTTTTTTTTCTTCTTAGAGTTTGTCTGCAACCTTGAGCCAGTTCTGAAAATGAACCAAGAAAAAGAGAAATGAAACTCATTACATCAGAGGAAGTAAAACTGCAAAAACATTCAAGTAAAACCAAAGTGTTCCTGTGTTGGATCTACAGCTGTAGACACCCTGACATCCTGTAATGATACAACCTCCATAAAACAAGGGAAAAACACAACACAACACCTTGTCTGGCGTATGAAATTGTCTCACAAATGTGGTTGTTGCTTGGGTCATTTGAGGGATTTCATTACTCTTTGAGCAGAAATGAGATGGCCCACAGCCAATGCAATAAACAAGCCTGTGCCTGTTAGAGCTCCTACTCTTTTGGAAATCACAGAGTGTGTTCTCTAAAAAAAAATAAAAAAAACAAGATAAGTAAAACTAAAATAAAATGTCACTGATTGAATTCCAAGAAAATCTACATCCACTTCTGTATAAATAAACGTGTCCCACTCCAGAGCCTGTCCTTTGTTGGAGCTCTGTCCAAAGCTGCACAACTATCTATCCTTATTTTCACTCATATTACAGGCTGAATGCATAACTCAGCGGCTTCAATCTTTAATTTTTATTTTATGGCCTACTTTAGACGGAGTTATCGTACACTGCATTGTGAAGCGAGACATGCTGTGTAGCTTAACCTTTGATCAGAACTACCCCGCTTTGTTGTAACCCAGCTCTGAAGATTTTTTTTGCCTTTTGCCTTTTGAAAAATGGCTGTCACTAAAATAGCATTTGTGAACAAGGGGGAGGGAAAAGGATCTGAATACCTCAATTAGACACCAACAGAGCAGAGGGAGTGTGTGTGTGTGTGTGTCTGAAGTGAGAAGTGGAAAGACAGACAAAATCTGGCCTCAAACTGTGTCTTTCTATGATGAAGCTGTGTCAGGCCACCCAATCAGCTCTCTTGGCATTGAATCCTATAAGTCCCAGTATAAGTCGCTTAACGAAACAGTGACTCAGGCCACGTAAATTACTCATCCCCAATTACAGCTCATTAGGACATGCCTTTTAGGACAGCTGACTTGAGAGGGCATGGCTAATGAGCAGGAACACTATCGTGATTAGCGTTCATGTCAACGATTTTCTTGTGTTTAGCTTTCAGATGGAAGCGGCTCAGATCTGGATGGGCTGTGGGACGCAGCAGCAGTCGAGGGAGAGTGGTGTTGGTGAGAGGAGTGCAGCTGTGCAGTGTCAAATAAGAAGCCTAATAGACTAGCGCTTACCTCAGACATCTGTATGAAAATACTAAGGGCATATCAGGACCGACCAACAGCAGGTAAAAAAGTGTGAAAATCAACACCATCCAAATATGGGAACAGAAGAAAAATGAATAATGCATTTTTCTTTTCCCATCATTTGTTCCCATAAATTTAAATCTCAGGTTTTGCAAATCAACTCTGCAAAGAGGCTTTTTTTCTTTGAAATATGAGAGCGATAATGAGATGACCTGGTTCTCTTCATATTTTCTAATAGATGCCATCTTTAAATGATGTCTCTGTAGTAAATCAAATTGCTACTTTAAATCTTGAGTGAGAGTTGTTGAAAAAAAAAAAACAGAACATGACACATTTACTAATATGGCAAAAATAAAATACTACATTTCATATAGATTAAAACATAAATAATTTAGAGAAAAGGTAATGAAAGTATAACTATAACTCTACTCATAATTAGGGAAAGGAAAAGTTCTGCTGAAAAAATATATAAAAACTGCATTTTAAAGAAGTTTATTTTAAAGAAGAGAGTTTATGCAATATTTCAAATAAGTAAATAACTGACTATTTCACAGCAGTGACAACAGAAATGTTTCATAACAACTCGCAGGCTTTTAGTGCACAATTTATGGTTCGGATTCGAAAGGTAAAGCCAAGATGCTAATGCAGCACAATCTGAAACGGCTCCCTGCAAATTGGATAAAACAGTGATCATCGGTACTAAACTAAAACAATTCTTATGTTTCTACCAACACTTAATGATTCAGGTCAAATTCAGCTGCACAGTCAGTTTTACCTCTATTGCTTAACAACAGTGAGTCACCTGGTCCCATCTTATTTCTACTGGATGTCAAATGAGTACAATCCCAGTCACATCACAGGATCTTATTTCTACTGGATGTCAAATGAGATATACAATCCCAGTCACATCACAGAGTAGTTGCAGATGAATCATTATTAATCAAAATAAATCAACACTCCTTAAACGGACAAAATCCTTTTCATCAATAAATTGCTAAATCATTAATATGGAAAAATGTTTAAAAAAAAACACAAAGTATAACTCAATATTTCAATTTGTAGAGTGGGTTACTTTACAATAACGATAACAGAAAAGAAGGTGGAACGACTGGATATAGAGATACCGTCATTCTGCAGAGGCATTAAAAATTTTAATCTCATTAATTTCACAAATCAATTAAAGAGGTAAATGCATTACATTTGACAGCCCAAATATTTACCATTAAGAAAAGGCCTGCTCTACATTGTCCACATCGAACCAAGATGGAGCTGAACACACTGCCTTACACTTTCATTCAGCTGCCATTTAGCCTCTCGCAGGTTTCCACTGCACAGAACTGAACCCTGAGCAGATAAGGGATTTATCTAGGATCAGCCAAGGCGCTCAGAGAGGATGAAAAATAACTTCAGCCAGGTGCCCCAAAAAGATTTTCTTCTCTTCATCCATGAGAAAAAAACCCAGAAGGCAACAGAAGCTGGAACAAGCCTTCAAGCATTTCATGGACAGTGCAGCTGATAATGACATAGAGGAGCTGCTGGCTCAGATTGGCTCCATGCTTTGTTTCTACATTCATTATTAAAAACGTGATGGAAAAATTACATTTTCTGTGATGCATTACGTTAGTGGAACCAGCGGTAATAACTGAAAATGACAGAAACATAGATGGTTAAAAAATACATCTGTAAGGGCATTAATGTGCCGGAGCTTTTGCATCCTTGTTGCTGTTCATTTGCTTAGAAAGAAAGAAAGGAAACACTACGCACTGAGATGCTGCTGGGCTCGACTTTATAGCCTACTGCCGCTGCTATTACACGCACAGTAACAATGTGAACGAGACCAAACATTTAACTTTATAGGAAGGATAGCATGGTTAATTTGGGATGGGGATATTTCTCTCTGGTAATTACCCCACTTGACTGCTTCTACTGACTTCTATATGTCCAAAGACTCTTTATTTGTTCATTTCATTTCGTTCTGCTTTATGCCAATGCATGACTGAGAGGTATTAAACAGGACGTGCAGAAATAGGAGCAGACTGGGTAATGCTCCAAGGCAAGGTTGCCGATTCAGGTTTTTGACAAGGGTTAAGTTCACTTGAAGTACCAAATTAAAGCCAGATGCCTTGTATCCCGTCACAGATGTTACCCGGTGGAATAGATGGGCAGTGAAATTTAAAGCAGTGTTTTCTTTTGCACAAACCTCATTGTGCCCACAGGAGGAAAAAAAAAGTGTTTTAAATTAGCTTCCCACCTCCATTCATCCCCACAGTGCCTTCTCTCCCTGTGCTCTCTGTGAGATGAGGGATGCACTGTACCGAGGGGAGAGCTGTGTTTAGAATGAGCAACCAAATTACTCTCATCGTACACTGCCTGTACACCACGAGCTCCTAAGGTTCAGAGGTGTTCACAGCCTACAAAGTGTGGTTGTGGAGAATCTTAGGAGAAGCAAACAAAGGAGGACAAATAAGTGTGGTTGTGGAGAATCTTAGGAGAGGCAAACAAAGGATCCCCGACTCCTCATGCCTGGGAGTTATTCCAAGTTTGGCAGATGTTAAGAGCCACAAAAGGACCCATCACTGAGACAGAGGAGGCGCAAGAACGTCAAAGCAATCGTCGACTTAAGACAAGACATCCAAAAGTCAGGACAGAAGAATACTCCAATGTTCAGAAGATTATAAAAGTTAGATTTGACAGAAAAAAATGAGACAGAACAGGAGAAAAAAAAATCCTCCTAAATTATCGTTCCCCACAGTCCACTGTGCAAGACTGGTTTCAAATAATGGTGTATGAGAACAAGACTACTCCGAGGCTGACCCATTTCCTTTACCTGCACCCGAGGCTAAACTTCATTATGATATAATGAAGTCAAGCCACACATGGACATGCTTGATTAGTTCCACTGGAAATGTGAAATGGTGAAAGCAGCAAGAATATGGTGTAGGAGTAAGGAAAGACAGAGAGCAAAAAGAGACATGACTAGTGTACAGCTAATGGACTGCAAGGTGAAGGAAACCCGAGTTATTGCTCTTGTGATGGAAATGAATGGAAAGAGACTGTTTGAATACAGAGTAGCAGCTCTCCATCTCTGAATGGAGTCACACAAACACCCAGGAGACTGGTGCCGGCATTACCACAGAGCCATACTCAAAGCTCGGGAAAAAACCGCCCCCTCTCTGAGCACCCCCCCTCCCTAAACCGCCGCATCCCACCCTGAGTGGCTGAAGCTGGAGTGAGGAACTACTGTTGTCAAGGTTATCGACTGGGGGAGTCAATAATGTTTGATCACAAAAACATTCAGCAACAGTGGGATTGACTTTGTGAAGGAAAGCCACAGACAGTGATGGATAGATTCAAATGACAGTAACATTCACACGCTGCATGGACCATTGAGTCCACAGAAGATAAACACCAATTAGGAGCACCATCACAGTAACATTAGCGCATTCATCTTCAGCCAAGACCAAGCACTCAGAGGTTTTAAAGAGAATATCAATATCTCAAGCCTCGGCCACAGTGGATAAATAACCAATTCATTACTGCTACTGTATTCAGGAGAAAACTTCTTTGTATTGGTGGGAAAGAAGTCGAGACAATAAAAACACAATAGTCAGTATTGTGAGATCTCTTTTTGTCTTATTTATCATAGAGCACACAAACTTAAAGATGCATCTATTTCTTCACAAAGAGAGACTAATAAAAATACTATCTTTTTTCTTTCATTCAAGTAAACATCAACAAAACAAAAGTTGTGCTTGTCTTTAACAGCTGCACTTTTACACATGTCAACATCCATCTGCAAAAGTTTAAAAAGTTCTTCCACATCTGCATCTCTCAGTAATGCAATTGGAAGCCACGCTGCGTCCTCTAAATGGATCTACATTTGGTGGAACACGCTGCTAAAAGAAGCTCCGGTTTGAACAAAAGGAAAATGGGTTGCAGTGAGCGGAAGGGTGGTTGATTACCTGACAGAAATTTATTATTACACTTGAGGTTATTCTGGATATAGCTGCATTTGTGGTGGAGGTTTAAGGCTTGACTATGTAGTCAAAAACAAAAATACTTCCCTCCTGTGGGAGGTTTAAAGCCAAGATTGCAAAACATTCTCCTGCAGAGTGCTGAGAACTATTCAAATCAAATCAACCACCAGCAAATCGTCTGAGTTCAAGACTGGTCTATTTTCATTATTCCCTTGTTGACGAACCTTAAAAGCTCAGTAATACCGACCTGGGTAAAATGAAACTCTATTCTAAGGAGCTAATTCTATTACTGGTGTTACCTGGGGAAGAGGCTCAAGACCTATTAGAATAATAACAACAATAATTCTAAACAGTACATCTGTTATGATAATCTGTCTCTTTCTTAGAAAAAGTCACGGGTAGAAGTTCACCATGGCAAAAAGACATTATTGCAACATAGATTTTCAAAGTCAGATCAATTTAGTCCTGATTAATTACTTTTATTTTCTCTGCTGCTGCCCGAGCCTGTCTGACGGACAAATCACTCGGGCTCCTATTCAGTCCCACGAACAAGGAGGGCGAGTTTAGAACCATTATCCAATAAAAAGGACACAGTGGTAACATCTAATTTAATTGTATCTCTATATGTTGTTTAAAAGAAGTGTTTCAGGAAACGTGATTATACATATTCATGTATTCGTTTTTTTTAAATACTCCTTACTTGACATCAATTCACACAGCTGAGGTAAATCACACAGAGCAATAAGACCGATCATTTAACGTGAATACTTGACGCCTATATTAACTTGACTGTACCTGCCTGAGACTAATTGTAACCCGAGTGTAACATACCAAACAGACGGAACACTGAGATGTTGAGGATCATAATGTTGTCACAAAAACAACACCAGCAGCAGGAGCCACTCTCACAGTGACGATAATAATTGCTCACTGTCATTGTTCAGAGGATGTGGGCATCGGATAAGAAATGTGTTTTTGTAAACAGACACCGTCTTGTTGCTCATAATGTCAAACATCCACTTGTGCATGACAAGGCTGTGAGATTTAGTGGGAAAAAAATCCCTGACTTATATCTAAATCTGTACGTTCAGAATTATTAGATAACAAGGTGGCAATAATTATTCAGCTTGGTTGTGACTGATCAAGTTCCTAAAACATAAAACTTTGATAAATTCATCATATAATTTTGAGAGACATTATTAAACAACACAATACAAAACAATACATTCAAAAAAGTCTACTGAGAAATTAGCAATATTTAAAACAAAATTATAAATAAGATTACTTACTGCAGCTTCCTTTTTCAAAAGTGGACACTGAGTTGTTTCTTTTCTCTTTCCAAAAGCATGAAGCTTGACAGGATTAGAATTTGAGATGAAAAGCAACTTAAGGTTAGGCTGGAATCCCAAATCTAGTTGAGATGAAAAGCAACTTAAGGTTAGGAATCCCAAATCTAAGTCTGTGTTGGAATACAACCTCCTTTAACCCACCGCTTGTTTGGCTGCAGCTCCTCACACATCTGTCTTGGAGCTTCGATGGCTCTGGACTAGGTGATTGGTATCTTGACATAAACGCACTCTCGCTCTGGGAATCGAATCACTGACCTTTTAGCTAAGAACACCTCTCCACTACAAATAAACTAAGCTGTGATTTACTGACCAATCACAGTTTGCCAAGTTTACGTTTAAAAATGGCTGATTAAGAATAGAAATCTGCATAATTCTGGTTTATGACTTAGGTCGCCGTAGTTTGACATCTACTCAAAACTTTGGTTTAATCTTGGACTAAAACTAATTATTCGAATTATTTTGTTCCTGTTATTACCCTAACAGTTCATGGTTTAAAAATTAGTGACTTTTCAGGCTGCCTGTGTTTCAGATAACTGGACCAAAAGAAGGAACAGTAAAACCAACCTGTCCGACTTTCCCCTCTGTCCGTCCCTGTAGTTGAAGCAGTTGTAGTTGTAGTAGTAGTAGTAGTAATAGAAGTAAATTGCTTAGTGTTCAGTTGACTTCATTCATCAAAGTTGCAGTAACTCAAGCTTCTTTCTTTAAGCCGCAATTGTCCAATCAATGAGAACGCTTTGAAAGCTTAACGAAGACCTCTATCAGGAAAAACTCACTCACTCAAACACACGGTCTTCCCATGTCTAGCTCCGGGGGATGTAGCCAGCTAGCCTGCTAGCTCCTGGAATAAACAGTTGAGATGTCGAGTCTTAACTCTTCATATACCGGATATTTCCGACTGTACGATGTGCTCCTCTTCACAAAGGGCACCGCTGTCTGTGTGCTGCTGGGGTGCCCATGTCGGTCCGCTTCAACACCGGTTCGTCTGCGGTGAATGAACGCTCTTTATTCTCCTTTTCTCTGAAGCAGTGGCTTCACTCTGCTCTAAGACCACAATAGGTTCAGATTCGAGTCTTTTCAACACCAGTCGCTTTGCTTTTTACGACATCCGCTCTCCATTTACGATTGCTGTTGCTTGGCAATCGTTCTAATTGTTGTTCAAACCCCACCCACACCGACTACACTCCGCCCATTTGAAATAATTCATCTTTTCTGTTACATCTCTCACTTAACAGCGAAACTTTTTTTTTTCAATAGCAACACAACCTAAACACAACTAATATATACATGATCTTCACATATGAGCACACGATATTAAAATGATAATCAAAATGTTTAACATATATTTATTTGGTATTTATGGAACAACGCACGACAGACAAAAATATTAAAAATTATCGAAACATCGAAACGAATTCAAGTGCAACTGATTATTTAATTAAACCTAAGAATTAGTAGAGAACCCTCACAACGGCAGCATTAATGTGCGTCTAACGCCATCTGCTGGACAATGTCTGAGTGACAACTCAACTCAACTTATGGGGCATTAATGAACTTTCGGCAACAAGGCTATGGATGCTCAGATGGTTTGAGAAAGTCATGCTGTTATTGAAGATTTAATGACAGGAACCTAATTGGATTTAATGTTAAGAAATATTTAGTTAGCAATATATTTGGCTTGGGTCATTGTTTTTTATTTTTAATGTGTTGAAATGAGCTACAAAACTAAAAGGGATCATTCGAACCTATTATGGATAGTGTTGATTTTTCTAAGGTTTCATGAAAGCATCACGTGTGTCGCTGATGACCCCGGTGGTGAAAATGAATCTGAACTCTGAAAGTTTGACCTGTACGACGCCATGTTGTATATTTAAATATAGGGTATTTGATATTCATTAGTACAAAACTTCATCTAAATCAATGGAATTATAGAAACTGAATGGACAGTGTTTTGCAGGTGAGTAGTAGGAGTTACTTTTTATATCTTATCTGAGTTAAGACCAGGTTATATATTATATTTTTTTGAAATCTTCTCAGGAAGTTTTTTTTTTTTTGTATTTTTTTATACAGTAAACCCTTGTTTTTCGCGGGGGTTACGTTCCAAAAAGAACCCGTGATAGGCAAAATCCGTGAAGTAGAAATCTTTATTTTTTTTACAATTAAATACTACTTAAAAAAGAAGAGAAAGAACGAACAAACCATTTTACAGTCTCAACCATTTGTTTCACAAATAAAGTAAAATAAAAGTACTTTAGAAACGTTTCAACAAATAACTTCTGTAATGTACTGTCAAATAATAATTTTAATCATCAACGTGAACAGAAGGCTTCAAATTGCGGAGATTAGCACCGCCCACCGTGAACGGGAGAAAATTAAAAATGATTATGAAAAAAATACAAATTACCTGTACAGTCGGACAAATAGTGACTCAGCTTTATTTCACTGCTGTCTTCCTTATGTTTTTTTCTTCCTTCTTTATGGAACGAACGGAAGATTCATTAATTCCATAATGCCGACCTACAGCCGCATAGCTTTTACCTTCATTTAGCATGTCCAATAGTTTTACTTTATCACCGATAGACAGCATCTTCCGCTGCCTTTTGGTCCCTACCGCAGGTACTTTTGCCGGTCCAGAGCGTTTTGTCGACATTATGGGGTTTGATAAACTCGAAATTGCAAGAGAATTTGCACGTACGTAATGTCAATTTGGCAAGCTGTTTTACGTACGTGTACATATTAAACCGCAACGTTATTGGCGCACAGGTAGAGAAGAAGCGGAGTGACTTTTTAGCCAATCAGAATGCAGAACACAATGCAAATCCGTGAAGTAGCGAAAAGTAAACCGCGATATAGCAAGGGATCACTGTATTTAGGTTTAAGATTTGATGAGTGGTGATAATTCAGTGTCTGGCTATTTGCATCATTCATCTCCAAAGTCTGACCTTGTGGAGAAAAGTTATGTCTCTGCTCCCTTCTCCCAGCATGTCCTTGATGAATATTCATGTATTAAAGTTTATTTACACAGGAAAGCCTTGATGGTGTTCTAAAAGTCTCATCCGACTGTTTAACCTTTACTGATGCAGGTATTATCAGGACACAGCAAAGGCAACATTTATAAGAGTGCATACAGCTAACAAAATCAAAGTATGGGTTGAAAAAACATTCCAGAAATATATATGTCAGATTTTTTGCTGAGGAAATTTACAATCATCCTCCCCAGCATGTTTACGCTATACATCATTTCTTTACAGCAGAATAAAAAAAGTTGAAGTCTGAGCAGGTATTTTTGGAAGGAAGGAAGAAGGAAATTTATTATGTTTATATTTTTGTTTTATATTCTATGAAAAATGATTCTCAAAACCTTGGCTGTTTGTGCTGAGCGTCACACGAACTCACACACATTCACAGGCAATCCTCATCATATTTTCAGTCTCTTGTTTTATTAATGTCCATGTTTCATTATTTGCAGCATAAACATATGGCGCAGTTAGGTGTCCTGGGAAAGGCAGTTGTTTTCAGGACTGTGTATTTCTCTGTGATCACGCTCAGGTTTGCTGCTCTTCTTTTGACAGAAATGTAAACAGAGCAGAGCGTGTGTGCCACTGAGACCCTGAACAGCAGAACTGCCTGAACGTTGAAGGTCCACAACGAGCATCTTCTCCGTCACACGGGTCCCAAACCAAACACGTCAAATCCACATATGGTAAGTAAGTCGAACCTCGGTGCTGATACATAACACTAAAACAAAAGACAACTGTTGTGCATTAGTGCTGCATGCTGCCACACCGCAGAGGCACCGGTGACAAGTGGAACAAGCTGCCCTGATAAAACATTTAGTCCAAAAAGGGCTGCATAATTGATACTGTGTAGAGACATCGGGAAAACAAACCGCACCACAAAGGAGGATTTATTTGGCCCCAGACGTCGTCGTCTCACAAAGAGCAAGAGAGCAATTTCACCAATATGAGGTTTTTATTGGAGAACAGTGAGAGGGAGGGAGATTACATTTGTGAGTGAGGTGCTCCGACAAGGGAGAAAGAGGAGACGACTAAACAGGAAAGAATCAGAAAACTAATAAATTACATATGGCTGGACATGGGTGGAAAAATACAGAGAGTCTGAGGGAAAAAACAAAAGACTTTAGGACAGGAAATTCACTTTTATTTGTTTAAAGATAGGAGATGGGGAAGAAGCATTGTATGGATGATAATTGCTGCTGTTTTAGCTTTGGCTAATTCTGGTAAATATACCAGTAATTAAGTGACTAGTTGTATTCATTTGTTGTTTTGACTGTCTTTAGCATCAGTTTTGGGGATAACTAACACTTCACACGTTTTTATCCATTAAGACAGTGTGCACTAATGTGGCTTTAACTAATAGTAATATTGGTAGTATCAGTGGGTTTTACTACAGTAAAGTACAGTTTGTATTGCCGCTGTATAATGACAAAACCAAAACAAAGACAGAATGTGGAATATCTCGGCGTTAGACCAGGAGAATGGGACTGAATGAAGCTGGAGTGCTGTGTAACAACTCATCCTCCGGTCCCTGTGAATTCTGGGCTCTCATTAGTGCAGCCGACACATGCTACCAACAAAGGCCATTACGTGGGTCATACCATTCTGTGTAGTCTTCATGCCATTAAGGCCTGATACATGTGGGGATTGAGCAGAGAGGGCTGAGGATTTCATCGCATTACTGACTCCATTACGTGTCACAGGGGAGAAAGGCATTAAAGTTTGTGGCCTGATTAAATCTGCTGTTGTTCAACTGTGGGGGCAATTAGTGAGTACAACACACACGCACACACACACACGCAGCTATGACTTCTGTGGTGCAGGTGGTCTGTGTAAAAGTCGCCAATAGAATATGAATCATGTATTGATTCCTTTGAGTCTGTAAACCTGTCTGTGTCTGTGTCTGTGTCTGTGCTCCGGCTGCACACCAGGATGAAACATGAACATGTTGTTGTTGTTGTTGTTGTTGTGTTCTGTATGTGTTAATGTAGCTGCACAAACATCATTTGTACCATGACAGGAGGGTGGCGCTGATGTGTAAGTGTGAAATAACGGAAGAAAAAACCAACTCAGCTCTGTAAACGGTTGCCAGAATTAGACGTGATAATTACAACTTACTTTACACACACACTTTCTTCTGTCCAAATATCAGGGCATCACAGAATATATATTTATTTTTTGTTAGATCTACAGTTTACAGACATTTGTGAAGCACTTAATTAGAACGGAAGAAAAAAAAGAAATCTAATTTCAGTCGTGTTTAAAAATAAAAATAAATTAAAGTAAAAGTCTTTTAGACCAGTGGTGCGAATGTTTTTCCTCACATGCACTGGATAAACATTTTTATCTTTGGCAGATATAATTCTCTGCTGCCTAAACTATTTAGTCTAATCTCCGGTTCTCTTCCGTCTTGTCCCAGTTTGTCCATTCTCGTCCACTGGTCCTGTTGTCTGTCAAATTAAAGTGTATACATATCAGTAATCCTGATGGTAGGATCGTTGTTTTATCAAAGTAAAAATCCAGGCCGTCCCCGTCTGTGAACACCGTCATTCTTCTCCACTACAGGCTGGAATTGAAATGATTCTTTTTTTTTTTTTTTGGTTATCAAAACAAGATGTGTGGTTTTTCTTTAATCTTGGGAATCCAAGGAAATGAGTTTCTCCCTCTCTCTCTTTCTCTTGATGAAAATTGAATCTCTCAGTAGTTTGATCCTCCGAGGACATAAAAAGGACTTGGGAATGATGGACATGAAAGTAGACATGCCAGAGATTGTGAATGTTGCATCATGCTGTAGAGAATGTGATGCATGTACCACAGCATCACTGCAGGACCAGGGGCCACGGACGGACAGAGACGTGGAAGATACAACAGCTGCTGTAAAAAGAAAGGAACAACTGAGGAGGGAAAAGTTTGACCCAGGCTGTGATTATTATGCACAGACGTGAGGAACACTTGTTGTGGTGGTGGTGGTTTGCTGTGATAAGAAGCTGTGATCTGGCTCAGTGTTTCTCCATCCCTTATGTGAAGACATGCAGCTGCACTCGTGCTTCCGTCGTATTCCTACTCTAATCATTGCTGAGACTCTCTGCCGTCAAGACTTCCATCC